TGTGCTAGGGACTGTGCTAAGCATCTTACAGATTATCTCTTCTAATCCTCACAACAGGCCCTATTTTTATCACCTCCTAGAGAGGGTTAATTAGCTTGGTTTAGGGTCACATGCCTAGTTACTGATGAAGTTAGGGTTTCAACCTAGGCAGCCTGGCTCCTGAGCCATGGAATGTAATGGCAGGTAATCTTCATAGAGCAAATGTAAATTGAGATGATGCTATAAATCTAACTATACAAACTGTAACCATAAATCTAAACCCTTAGGGGAACAAAAACTTGTACACATTTCCTTCTCATTACTCTAGCATTTCAATTAGACATGTGTGTCTCTATTTGTCTCACAGCTTAAAGGACTAATTTAGAATTACATGTTTGCAGTTCATCACAATGAACCAATAGGATTCATTTTATGAAATAAAGTCTGTTGTTACACTCAAACTCATTGTAACTTTGTTATTTTTAATCTTTCTAATTGTGATTTAAAAAACCACACTGAACTTTCCCCTGGGTAACCTGCAATCATCTTGGACAAAAAGCAACACGGTTTTTCGTTTTGTTGACTTTCCGGCCAGTTAGGATGTAGGTGTTGAAAGCTGAAAATATAGAAACTAGACCAAAAAAGGGGAAACAAAGCAAGCAACGCAGTGATTGAGAAAGGGAGGAAGATGTTTGGAGAAGGAAGAGAGCCTAAGTTAGACTGGAAAAGAAAACGAAAGGTGTAAATTAGGTCAGAAGCAACCTACTGTCCTCTAAGTTCGTGCCCAGGGCAAACAGATTCAGATGGCTGAACTTGAAAATGGTCTTCAGCTGATTTATAGTGGTCAGCGACTTCCCAGCGCCTGCATCCGTAACCATAAGTCTCCAGTGGTTGGAGCAGACATCTGGAGCTTTCCGAACCGCTGTCGCAAAACTGAAAGCAAGCTTTACTTTCCTTCTCTTTCAGGGAGCTCAAGAGTGCCTACATTGTTGCCTGTAAGCACGTTTCCCCCCTCAACCCACCCCTTATCTCTCATTTATCTTGATTCTCCTGTTGCTGGGGATTCGGCAGGGATTCGATGCAGATGGGGGCACTGGGCCAGGGGGCTAGGGTTTTGCGTCCCTGAGGCAAGCCAAATACAGAAAAGCGAGGAGAGACAGAGGGCTAAGAGTGCCACGCGCAGAAAGGCAGAAATTGGGTTAGAAAGGAGAGGTTGCGACCTGTGACAAACGGCCTTCAGGACATTAAAGGCGGTAGACTGGCCCCCAGACCACGCAGCGGAGACGCGGGCACCAGGTTACCGTGGCAACCGTCAGGTCTCGCGAGACAGACATTGCGCCTGCGCACTGCCGCTGTAGAGAACTTGAGGGAGCCTCCAGCCGCGCTGCCGAACTCAGGGTTTCTGGGATCCGGTCTCGCGCCGCCGCTTCCGGGCCGCGCGACGCCGTGGCCTGACTTTCTACATCGTGAGTGAGCTAACGCCGAAGGATGAAATGTGAAGTTCTCTGAGCATTTGGAAGGCGGGGTGGGGGGTGGGGCGGCGGGGCGAGGGCTCTGCGCACGCGCGTCGCGGCGCACGTGGAGCCGGAGCTCCCGCGGTGGTGAGTGGGAGCGGGGCGCCGGGGCCAGGAGGGGCCGCCCAGGTGGGATCGGCCCCAGGATTCGGCGGAGCGAGAACACCCAGGGCCTCCAGGACGTCCCCTGGACCCCCCTGCATCCCGGCCTGCCCGTCCCCGCCCGGACGCGCGTATGTTCCTGCCTCCGGGCGTCGGCGCCCGCTCCGCTCGCTGCCTGCAGTTGAGCGTCTCTTGGGTGCGAGAAATACTAGGATAAAGCCTCATCCTGGCCCTTCGTTACTCCAGAACCTAGAGGTGGAGACGGACGACAGCATAACACACTTGCGTATGCTAAATAGTAAATACGGAGGCACCAGATAGAGGGGCGGCGTCCCTAGGGAGGGTTTAACTCAGGGTCGGGAGTGCAGCCACTGGGAACTGGGGCTGCCCTCCACTCCGCTACCGGATCCGCAAACCAGGAGGCCTCCCTGAGTCCTTCCTCTGCCTTACTCGTAGTCGATCACTCAAGTCAGGTAGATTTTCTCTCTGAACTATTTCAACTAGTATATCTTTCTGTCCATCCCCTCTGCGGTGGCTCTACCGCAAGCCACGGTCACGTCTTACCAGGACTATTCCCGGAGGCTCTTTGCTACTTTTAGTCTTGGCACAGGACCCTCCCAGGCCCGAATTCACAAAGACCTTTCTGGAATGTCTTTCTAATTCTGCCGCTCTGCTTTAAACGTTACAGTCGCTTCCCACTATAAGGCTTACAAGGACCTTCACTGTCTCGTCTTTACCTGCCTTTCCTGTTATCTCACCATTCTCTAGCATCTCTGTCCAGGCGACACTGAACTTATTTCATTTCCTTTAATGCTGTTCTCTGGGATACTCTTTCTACTTCGTTCTCCCTTTGGTAGCATTCTTCAGATGTAGGTTAAAAGTCACTGCCTCCAGGAGACCCTTCCTGATCCCCTCAACTAAGTCAGGCCTCTGGTATATGTTCCCTTAGGATCCTGTAGTTTCTTGACCTTAATGTGCGCCACGTCTCATTGTATTATTATTTGCTGATAAGACTTCCTCATAGATTCTAAGCTCAGGGAGGCGACTGTTTTTACTTTAATACTTTATGGCTTGGTGCATTGTGGATAATCCAGAAATACTTGTGGAAGTAAGGCAGTGGTGGGGGTGAGGGTGGGAGTGGTATTCTGGGCAGAGGGAATATGTGTATAAAGACGTGGAGGGGAGAAACTGGTGGCCTCCTTAAATAGTATGTGGTTCAGTGGGGGGTGTAACCAGCAGGGTGAGGCAGCTAAGGGGAGAGGCTGGTGGGGCGATGGGGGCCAGGGTGTGGAGAGCCATGTATGTCACCTTAAAGAGTTCCTGTTACTTCTTGTCAGTCACTCCTTTGTTTTTGAATAATATGACATAAGATTCTTCTTTTCCAAACTCCTTGGCTCTCCTCTCCCCCTCCAGATTCTGAAGACAGGAGGAGTTAATGCCTGTCTTGCTCTCTCTCCAGAGCACGTAACTGTAAGTATTTATGTAAGGATTCTGTGTTGTTTCAATGCTCAGACACATTAACTGACTTGGATTTTGGCCAGAGCTCTGTTAGATCATATTTGTCTTGCTCGTCTTCCTGATCACTGTAAACCCGATGCCAGCCTCTGCCAGTCACCACTGGATTTGGATGAGCTCCCTCCTGATTCCCTGAGCTTGAGGGAAGCGTGGAGATGACGGGGGATGGGAGGGCTGCGCGGTGGGGCTGATGTGACGGAAGCGGGTTAGGCAGCAGACACCGAGTTTCTAGAAGGGGCAGTGCTGACACGAACAAGGTCTGACCTCTCACCCCAAGGAACTGAATTTTGATTTTCTGTTAGAAGGTGACTGAGGAGGAACACTGGAGGCCTCTACTGGTCTGTCCAGTGTAGAAAGGCCGTCCATCCTACATCAGCAGTTCCTAATTCTGGTTCTGTATCAGACTCACCTGGGCAGCTTTTTAAAGTACAGATGCCCTGGTCCTATTCCCCAGGATCCCAATTTAGTAGATCTGGGGTAAGGACCAACCATCTGTATGTTTTAAAACGCCACAGGTTATCTTTGAGGTGCAGCCACGATGGAAAGCACGTAAAATTTGGATTTGGAAAACTAGCTGTGACTTTGGGCAAGATATTTAACCTGAGACTGTTTCGTTCTCCACACATGGGACAGTTATACAGGAATTCTGTGAGAATCAAACAATACATGGAGAAGGTGCCTTCTAAATTCCGACATACTTCACAGAGACACTTGTTCCTGAACATCAGTAGCCAGCCTAATAAGCAGAAGTTTAATTGGAGAGGACTTAAATCTTAATCCTGCATGGGGCACTTCAGGGCGGGCAGGCCGGCCTCGGCAGGATAAATGACCTGGAATGAGGGAGGATCTGGAATGAGAAAGTCTGGCTACCTGAAAATAGGGACAGTTCCAAGCCGCAGACTGCTCCAGGGCTGGCTTGTTTCACTTCCTTTAGTTTTGCCGCATGGGTCCCTGTGGTTCTTAGCCAAGCCCCAGGCAGAAGGTGAGGAAGAAAATCAAGGGAAGAGAGATGCACTTGTCTCTGGGAGGGAGAAACACGATATGCTTCCTAGACCAGTGGTTCATAACATTTTCCCAGCAAGGATCCTTCTTGTTATTTTTTCTTAAGGGATTAATATCTTTAAATTTCATTACCAAATTTCCCTAGTTTTCATCAAATTGCCAGCTGGAGGAGCAGGCAGCTTGGAATAACCGTAGGAAGGGGGAATGTACTGCTGCATGTGTATTAAATGTTTTAGGAAGGATGTACAAGAAGCTTAGGGTCTAGGGAGGGAGAGAGACTTACAGAAGGGCATAGAATGAAAGTATCATTTGAATGTGTAATCATGTGCATACATTACATTTCCAGTTCTTAAAGAATCACACCTGGTGATTATGACTGGCAGCGGCCTCTGGGCCCCACAGACTGAGCTCTGTGCAGGCGGACACAGGGGCTTAAGCGGGGGGAACTGGCTCACTGCTGAACCCAGTGCCTGGACCCCAGCCTGCACATTGGAGGTCCTCAGTATCTGTTTAATGGATGAATGGAAGCCTAACGAGAGAACAGTTTAGAAAATGGTACCAAATCTGTAAGGTTAATACCATCCAGTCATTAAAAGGATAAATAATTAGGAACAAGTAGAAACACAGAACATTTTTAATAAATGAAATAAATAGAATTTCACTGTGAATGCAATAAGGTAAAACATCCATATATTGCCTGTATATGAATAAAGACAAAGTCATATGAAAAAATGGAGAAAATAAATTACTTGAGAGGTTAAGTGTATGGTCACATAATTGGTCCTATATAATTAGGCTTTCCAGAATCAGAGTATAACCACGATATTCTGAAGTCATGCAGTGAGAGCTAACGGGAATTTCCCCTTGCTGTCTTGCCTCTCTGTGAAGGGTCTGCAGGATGGCCGCAGCTCCTCAGGCACCAGGGAGGGGCTCCATTCGGAAGACGAGACCTTTAACTGTGAAGACGTCATTGAACAACCCGTATACCATCCGTTGGAGCCCTCTGGAGAGAGAGGATATGCACTTCATATTACAGACACTGGAAGACAGATTTCAATCTGTCGGACTTCAGAAGGTTGAGGATAAGAAAAGAAAGAAAAAGCAGCCTCTTTTAAAAAAACAAAGCAAAGACAAATGTCGCGTGGATGTTGATCTCAGTGAGGCTCTGAAGGAGAAAAACCCAGAAGGAAGCCAACAAGCATCAGGGTGGACTCCCGTCCACGTCAGGAAGCAGCTGGCCATTGGCATTAACGAAGTCACCAGGGCTCTGGAAAGGAACGAACTGCTTTTGGTCCTAGTATGTAAGTCAGTCAAGCCTGCCATCATCACCTCCCACCTGATTCAGTTAAGTTTGAGCAGAACTGTTCCTGCTTGTCAGGTTCCCCGGCTCAGTGAGAGAATTGCACCCGTCATCGGCTTAAAGTGTGTCCTAGCCTTGGGGTTCAAAAAGAACACCACTGCCTTTGTTGATGAAGTAAAAGCTATCATTCCCAGAGTGCCCAGTCTAAGTGTACCATGGCTTCAAGACAGCCTTGAAGACCCCAGGGACAGTTTAGAGACTGAGTCTTTGGAAAGCCAAGACAAAGAGATTTTGGAAACTTCCTTTGAAGACCTCTCTAAACATAAGAGAAAGCCCACTGAAGGACAGCAAGCTGTGGTGTTACAACCCCTTAAAATAAAGAAACTCATTCCAAACCCCAATAAGATAAGGAAACCACCCAAGAATAAAAAAACGACTTCAAAGTAATCTCGTATAAACTTGTCATTTTGTACAATTGTAAAATGACACCTATGAAAGAGCCTTGAAACTATTAAAATGAGTTACTTTTACATATATCCTTGGGATGTTGTTTGGTAATGTTCCTTTCAAATGTGGAAGATTCTTTGTACAGCACAGGTACGCTGCAGTTTAAAAACACTAAGTGCAAAAAATATTCTGAATTATGAATATCAAAACAAGTTTATTGAAGCTAATGTCCATGCTTATATAAATTCACTTTGTAAAAGGCTGGTACAATGCTTGTAAGCAAGAACATTCTGTACCCTACAGTACTTAACATCTTTTTATCAAACTTGGAAAATGTGCCGCAGTATACATGGTTCTGGTTAGTGGGGTAGATGAAACCAGACTGCAGATCTATTATCAGTTTTAAAGGAAAGATACTAAATGCCAAGCAATATATTGTCTTTAGAAACAATACATCATTTTTTACTTCCTGTCAATTTGACTTTCTTTGTAGGTAGGCATAAGCATAGGCTTGGTATAAAGGCTTGACACTTAAAGAAAAAGCCAGGTAAGGCATTTTGACTAGTTAGAATTCACCCCTTTATATGTTAACTTATTTCCTTGGAAATGGAACATGTATAAAAAGTATGATGGTAATTAGGTGAAATGTGGCAGGAAGAGGAGAGACAATCTGAGGAGCTTGGATTCTCAGAGTTGGGTCTGCAGTGACCAGGGTCCTTCATGTTAGGAAATGGAGCATAATCAGTGCTCTATGTTTATGTTAAAGTGTCTGCTATCTACTGTGTGTGTTTGGGAATGTTACTTTCTGTAATTTAGGGGGAAGGTGTTCGATGGCCAAAGTTTTTTTCAGCCTGTTTTCTGGTTGACTCATGAATTGTGCCGCCTCTTTTCATTTAAATCTTACTGAATGCCATGTTGGCAAAAGAAAAAAGGGAGAGGGAGGATACCTCATGGAATAGAGCATTGCCAGTATTGACAGGATGAAGGACAATAGTTTTTTTGAATCTACAAGACATATTGCACTGAAATTTAGTTCTAATAGGTACTTTATAAACACCAGCACTTTTACCAATGCTCTATTTTAAAATGTTCATTGGTAATCTGCTTAAATTGTAAAGAGGCAAATGTGCTACTCATTTAATACCTGTATTTTACAATGATTAAATAAAAGAATGTGAATTCTATAACAATTAGAATTACATAAATGAATAAAGGAACAGTGCCATAGTTTCATCATGAGGTACTCTCATGACAAAATTTCTCACTGGCAATTCTGCAGTTATTTGAAAACCTACATCGCATAAGACTTTGTGCCATAAAAATGAGTGGAACATAATTCCCAACTACAGCCTTGACTCCAGGTTAAGTTAAAATCTCAGTTACTTACTGTTGGTGTCTCAAAAAATGTTTCCACGACTTGGTTCACTTTTGCTTCTGAAGCCATTCCCCTTCTGTTAACAAAGAATGGTAATGCAACTGGGTTTGAACTCTCCCCAATGAGTAGAAGTCTTCTCTCGAGACTTCAACAAAGTAAACAGCACTGTCGTAATTACGCACCACTGTGGGGGCCCACGCGCGCCCTCCAGTGGTGGTCTCAGGGATGCCACAGCTGTGGGTTGGTCTTCAGGACAATGTTGAGCTGGAGAAAGTGGCTTTCAGCTCCTTAGTGTAAATTAGGTCACCAGATTTTTTCTGTGAAGGGCCACATGGTAAATAGGGCTTTCAGGCCATATGATTGCCACTGGAACAACTAACTAACTGCCTTTTGTAGCATGAAGCAACCACAGGCAATTCATGAACGAATGAGTGCGGCTGTGTTCCAAAAAACTTTATTTACGGATGTTGCAATTTGAATTGCGTTTAATTTTCACACATCACAAAATGTTCATCTTTTGGTTTTTTCCCCCCAAACATTCAAAAATGTAAAAACCATCCTTAGCTCGTGGGCTGTACAAAAACAGGCAATGGGCTAGATTTAGCTCGTGGGCCGTAGTTGGCTAGCTCCTGCCTGGTATAAGATATGACTGGTTTCATTTGACACTTATAACCTGAAGGAAAGGCCATCATATTGTCTAAAATAATTAAACTTTTCTGGACAAAGAGCCGAGGCACTGGTACAGTAAAGGCAGGAAGAAGTATCTGCTTCGTGGACTCCGAGTCAGCTGACGTGGCCACATCCAGTATCTTTTTTTCCCCGTGGACTCTTGGCAATATATACACACATATGTACACGGAGGAAATGGTTTTTCAAATTCTAGATAAAAACACAATCAGTAACAAAATTATGAATACTTATTTACAAATAAGACATTTTCCATTAGCATGACAGCTTTCATGATAAATTAAAGTCAGCATAAAGGAATATGTGCAATTTTGCATAAGTAATAAAAACATTCAAACTATCAGTGTCCTGATAGCAGGAATAAATGCCACTGGGCATTTCTTTCGACTTGAGCACTTTGCTTTTCCTCACATATCCTTGCTGTTGCCGAGAAGAAAGGAGTTTGTGCCGCAGCAGCGAATCCTTGTCAGTCAGGGGTGTGTACTCCTTCAGAGAGCACACTCGATGTTTGCACAAAAGTTTGCTTTTGAACCAATCCACTGACCTGTTGCAGATTCAAGTACAAACCTGTGTGTGTACTGATTTGGCAACTCTGCTTCTAGAGAAATGAATGTACTAGTCACCAGTACGTTTCACCTCGCTCTACTCTCAAACATCCACCACTCGTCACTGAGTCACAGAAGCGGTGACTCCATGCATGTCCTCAATGATATCACGTAAGGTGACATAAGTAAAGAGTTTCCAAATGGATCCTTCATTCCGTTACACAGACAACAAGACCACCACTTCATAAACAGAAATGCCGCAGTTTATCTCCACACAATGGCAAAGATTTCCTTACACAATTCTGTGACTGCGGTTCAGTCCATAGAAGAACAGTCCCTTTTTAGAGAGTGGAAAAATACCTTCTCTTCATCAAGAGACAGCCAAAAGTGTGAAAATTAGAGGAATGTGCTCCTTGTACCCTTTCATCCCTCCTACAAATAAGTAAACAGTGGAACAAAGGATAAATCTTAATGTTCTAGCTAGAAATGTGGACTACTGGTCACATACGAATGTTTTTTCATCTTTTCTGATTGTTATTGACTACATCGATTTCACTTAAGTTGTGCTTTTATTTCTTCTTTGGAATGGCAGTTCCATAAATCATTAAATAGAATATTAACAAATGACGGTGTCAGAGTTCTAGAAATAGAAATATCCATCTATTGTAATACAAGTCCAACCTAAAGGGAGGGAAGAAATAGAACAGTAAGAACAGGTAAGCAAGGAAATTAAATTATAATGTAGTAAAACAGATCTGTATTTTTAAAAAGATACTAAAAATATAATCCTAAGGGAAGTGAATATGAGATTTCTTGGTAAACTTATTAAGTTTACAAAGGGTATATCAACTTCACTTACCTTTTCAGAGTCTGTTCCGGGACACCTCCAGTTGTACAAGTAATACTGTAAATTGCCATCTCCTATACCAAACTTGAGTTTTTCCAAGAATGTCTTGTTTTCCATCAAATCTAGTGCATTGAATACATCAAATCCTTTCTGCCAATGTAAAAAGGATTTAAAATTTAAAATTTCAAAGGACTAGCGTGTTTTCTAGATTACGTATTTCAGTATAACATTTAATTCCTCTATGAATATTCTGAATATGCATTTATAATAAGGTTTAATGTCTGCCATATATAGTATAGGTTAAGAATTCAGTTCAAAACTGTCTTAGAATACTAGAAGGGAATCTGAGGAGTCAGCAAGATTAGCTAGAAATGCTGAATCAAAAAAGGTAGTATGGGGCCGGCCCCGTGGCTTAGCAGTTAAGTGCGCATGCTCTGCTGCTGGCAGCCCAGGTTCGGATCCCGGGCGCGCACCAACGTGCCGCTTCTCCGGCCATGCTGAGGCTGCGTCCCACATACAGCAACTAGAAGGATGTGCAGCTATGACATACAACTATCTACTGGGGCTTTGGGGGAAAAAAATAAATAAAATAAAATCTTTAAAAAAAAAAAAAAAAGGTAGTATGCTGCCTAACACTGACATAAAATAATCCATTAAGATTTCAGAAGATATTTTGTCCCTATTTTAGAAGGAACAGTTGCCTAGATGGCTCCATCTCCAGACCTGTTAGTTATTGGCCTTTCTAAGTTCTGACTTAGCTGAAGCTACAGCTAAGAAGCCAAAGTTGTAAAGACTTTAAGTAGGATATCTGTCTTGGCCTGATAATGTGAAATAAATTAGTAAAATTTTATTAGTAAAAATTGAAAGTCTTTAAAATGTTACATAATAATACTATACAAAATGTGATTAGATGCAGCAGCTAAATTTCTATTTCTCTGGGTTTTTACCTTAACTTTTTACTGGCCTTTTTTGGAAAGTAGTTCAAAATGAACGATAGGATCAAGGAATCAGAAGATCACGTTGATTTTGGGATCCAAGAGTAATCGATTTTTTTAAAAAAATGTTTTCAATTACTAAATACTAGATAAATGAAAGGAAAACACTTTTGATGTGTTCCCAATTTCTTATGAACAATATTTTCTCCTATTTGATAATTATATCAGAATGTATCTGTCAGCTGATTTCAATCTCTTTTCCAAGGAAAATGTTTATTTGTAGCAAGAATTTAACAATTATCCTAACTACTACACTGAGGCAATAGAAAAATAATGTAAATATAGTAAGGTGCGATTTGAATTTAATTCCTTTCATTTTAAATTCCTTTAACACAATCCTCTTAATTTTAAAAATAAAATTTAATTTTAAAATTCAGAGACTATTTAGTTGAATCAAAAAATGTATTGTTGGGGCCGGCCTGGTGGCGTAGTGGTTAAGTTTGCCCGCTCCGCTTCAGTGGCCCGGGGTTCGCAGGTTTGGATCCCTGGCACAGACCTATGCACCACTTATCAAGCCATGCTGTGGCAGGCATCCCACATAAAATAGAGGAAGATGGGCATGGATGTTAGCTCAGGGCCAATCTTCCTCAGCAAAAAGAGAAGGATTGGCAACAGAGGTTAGCTCAGGGCTAAACTTCCTCTCACACACACAAAAAACGTATTGTTGCTAATTATTCCCTACAACACAAACACTCATGTATTTTCCTTATATCATGGGATCATGTATTTTTCTTACATTCCCTATGTTATAGATTTCATGTATTCTTATATAAGATTTAAAAGTTTCTAATTTGTATAAAATGTCTTTTTGGTTATGCTGCAATAGAATTAATGATGAAAACAGCCACTAATAAAAAACTCTTATAAAATTCTTCCTTTGATTGATGATCAATAGTAAAAAATATATCCCAAATAAATTCCAGCCATGTGGAAGAAAATACAGTAAGATGTTTTATATACTTCAATGTACATATTTGGAGAAACACATGGGACAAAAAGGAGTGAGTCTCTCACCAATTTGGCTATAATGAGCGCATCATTCATGAGGTCCAGCAGGGGCGTCTCCGTGTGAATGTTGTAGAAGGAGTAGGCAGCTTTGAGGCTCTTGTGAGCAGGGTGGTGCATGACTGTGGAGGGGAGTGTGTAGAAGCTCAGGAAGTCAGTTAGTTTACCACTGGAGTTCTAAAGAACAAAGGTAATGTCAGGTAAATGCCTCCTTGAACAAATTTCATCCATGCATTTAAGCTAACTCTTTGATCTTCGACTTGAACCATAACTTTCTGTTAGAAGGAAAAGCAACAACTCACACTTCTCTCACAGCAGTCTGATTCAGAGCCCCTCAGAGTGTGTTGGGTAGAGCCTGAGAAAAGCATGGAGTTGTTCCTTAGCCCAGGCGCTAGTCAGCAATTTGCATAAAGTTCTTAAGTAGAATGTTCTAAAAGGAAAGCATCCCTCGGGTTGACTAATGAGTCTGTCCAGACTTAGGGAACAGTGATAAAAGAAGACCATTGTTGGGCTGCCCCCGTGGCTTAGCCAGCACTCCGCTGCTGGCGGCCCAGGTTCGGATCCCAGGCACGCACCGACGCACCACTTGTCCGGCCATGCTGAGGCTGCGTCCCACATACAGCAACTAGAAGGATGTGCAGCTATGACATACAACTATCTACTGGGGCTTTGGGGGAAAAAAATAAAAAATAAATAAAAGAAGACCATTGTTTCTGCAGAAGTAAGAGCGCTAAGGATAGAAGGCTGCCTTCTCCAACTAAACGACACTGTGTAATATCTCACATCTTCTTGGCATAAGGCAAGAATTTTATCAACTTTAAAGTAAAGTTGGATAGTGTCTGGAAGCTGTTTTTGAGAAACTTGTGAAAAGCATTGGTACTGCACCAAAATATACATGTGTGAATAACTGAGAAAATCTGAAGCTTTCAAAAATCAAAAGAGACACAAAAGATGATATTCATTTCATCATCACTGGTATACCCTTAGATACAAGAAATGAGCCAGTATTGTTTGGGTTGTTTTAATTAGCCATGGTGGCCTATGCAGTTTGCATATAATCCAAACCATGACATATCTGAATGATATAGCTGAGGATGCTAGACCACATGCATGCCATTAATAGTATTTCTTTCAGCAGAAAATTCCAAAAGGATGGATCATCTAGTTTTTGAGCATTTCTGATTTATTAAACCTTTTTTTCAGACATTAAGGAATTGAAGACATTAAGCTGAAGTGATTCTCTACTGTTCTGTATTAGCAGCTTAGTATTGAAATGAATTCAAGACCTAAACTTTAAGCTTTAATAAGGATTTTCAACTTGAAAAATACCATAACAGAAACTAAACACAAAAACAAAAAACTCACTGTATGGGCTCAATAGTAGAGTGGAGATGACAGAGGACAGAATCACTGAACTTGAAGAATTCAGTAGAATTTACTCATCTGAACAACAGAAAGAAAACAGACTGAAAAAAAAAGAATTAAGTCTCAGGGATCTGTGGGGCAGTAACAAAAGAGCCAACATTCAATCACTGGAGTCCCAGAAGGAAAGGAGAAAACTTGGGGCTGTAAGAGTACCTGAAGAAACAGTGGTTGAAAACTCCCCAAATCTGGCAAAACTCACACAGTACATTCAAGATGCTGAGTGAACCCTAACAGGATAAACCCAAAGAAACCCACACCAAAACGCATCACGATTAACTTTCCAAAAACTAAAAACAGAGAAAAATCTTGAAAGTAGCCATAGAGAAAGAATGCATTACCTACAGGGGAATAGCATTTAGAATGACAGCAGATTTCTCATCTGCAACCACAGAGGCCAGAAGGAAGCAGCACAACATTTTTTAAGTGCTGAGAGAACAGAACATTCAACTGTGAATTCTATATCTGGTGAAACTATCCTTCAGCAATGAACGGGCAATAAGGACATTCTCAAACAAAATACCCTTTCCCTAAAATGAAAACTAAAAGAATTTGTTGTTAGCAGACACACCTTTCAGATTGGCCAAAAGAATTCTTCAAACAGAAAGGAGATAATAAAAAGAAGAAATCCTGGAACATCAGGAAGGAAGAAAGAAGGATAAAAAGAGCAGAAATTTGGGTACATACTATAAACTATGCTTCTCCTCATGAGTTTTATAAATCTACTTGGTGATTCAAATAAAAATTATAACACTATCTGATACTCAAGACACGGATACTTAAAAGTTGAGAAAGGAAAGGAACATAAATGGAAGCGAGGTCACTTGAAGTGGTGAAACATGGGTACCAGAAGGCTGTGATGAGTCCCATATGGACATTGTAAGACCCAGAGCAACCATCATGAAAACTACACAACTACACCCAAATGCACTACAAGACAGGATCCCTGAAAAATGTTCATGTCACCCACAAGAAGGCAAGGGAAAAAAAAATAGAGGAACAAGAACCAGAGGAAACAAGCAGAAAACAAATAATAAAATGGCAGACTTAAGCTCTAACATATCAGTAATTATCAGATGTCAATGGTCTAAATACATCAATCAAAAGAAAGACTGGCAGAGTGGATAAAGAAACACTGCCCAACTATATGCTGTTTACAAGAAACTCACTTCAAATTCAATGACACAGACAGGCTGAAAGTAAAAGGACTGAAAAAGATATACCACGCCAACATTAATTTTAAAAAAGTAGGCGTGGCTATATTATATCCGATGAAGTAGACTTCAGAGCAAAGAAAATTACTAGAGACAAAGGGGGATTACATGATGATAAAAAGATCAATCCACTGGGAAGACATTAAGGTCCTAAATGTGGAAGTACCAAACAAGACCCTCAAAATACAAGAAAAACTGATAGAGCTGGAAGGTGAAATAGACAAACCTACAATTACAGTTGGGGACTTCCACACCCCTCTCATCAACTGACAGAACTACTAGAAAGAAAATCAGCAAGGATACAGGAAATCTGAATAACACAATCAACAGGATCCAATTAGCATATATAGAACACCTCACCCCAACATAGCAGAATACACATTTTACACGCACATGGGACATTCACCAAGATAGACTATATAGGCCTAAAACAACCTCAAGAACCTTAACCGAGTTGAAAGTATAGAGAGTGTGTTCGCCAACCATCATGGAATCAAACTAGATCAATAGGAAATTGCTAAGCACGTCAAAACTGAACAACAGAATTCTAAATACTGCATAGTCAAAGAAGAAGGGTCAAAGTAAATTAAAAAATACATAGAACTGAATGAAGATGAAAATATGACATACCAAAATATGTATGATGCAGCTAAAGCAGTGTAGAGAGGGACATTTACAGAACCAAATGCTTACACTGTTGAAGGAAAGATCTCAAATCAATAACCTAAGTTCCTCCCTCAAGGAACAAGAAAAAGAAGAGCAAAATAAGCCCAAAGGAAGCAGAAGAAAGGAAACATTAAAAATAAGGGCAGAAATCAATGACACTGAAAATCGGAAAACAACAGAGAAAATCAATGAAACAAAAGCTTGGTTCTGGGCCGGCCCCATGGCTTAGCGGTTAAGTGCATGCGCTCCGCTGCTGGCGGCCCGGGTTCAGATCCCGGTCGCGTACCAACGCACCACTTCTCCAGCCATGCTGAGGCCACGTCCCACATACAGCAACTAGAAGGATGTGCAACTATGACATACAACTATCTACTGGGGCTTTGGGGGAAAAATAAATAAATAAAATTATTTACAAAAAGCTTGGTTCTTTGGGGAAAAAAATCAATAAAATTGATACAATGCTAGCTAGACTGATAAAAATAAAAAGAGAGAAGATACAAATCATCAGGATGAGGAATGAAATAAGGGATATCACCATAGATCCTGCAGCCATTAAAAGGGAATACTATGAACAGCTTTCCTCTTATAAATTTGACAATTTAGAAGAAATGCACCAATTCCTCAAAAACCACAAACTATTAAAATGCAATCAAAATGAAATAGATCATCTGAATAGTCCTATAACCATTAAAGAAATTGAATTCATTATTTTAACAAAAAAAGAATTCTCTAAGGTCAGATGGTTTCAACTGGAGAACTCTATCAAACATTTAAAGAATTAACACCGATTCTATACAATTTCTTCTAGAAAACAGAAGAGGAAGTAACACTTCCCAACTCATTTTATGAGGCCAAAAACCAGATAAAGACAGTACAAAAAAAAAAAAAAAGAAAGAAAGAAACTGCAGACCAGTATCTCTCAACAACTCAACAAAATATTAGCACTCCAAATCCAACAATGTATAAAAAGAATTATACACCATAACCAAGTGGATTTTTTGTAGGTATGCAAGATGCAAGGGTGGTCAAACACTCAAAAATCAATCAATGAATATACCATATCAACAGACTAAAAAAGAAAAATCATATGGTCATATCAATTGAAGCAAAAAAAGCACTGGAAAAAACCCAATACCCATTTATGATAAGAACTCTCAGCAAGTTGGGAATTATCTCAAATTGATAAGAAGCATCTACAAGAAACCTTCAACTAACATCATGGTGTAAGACTCACAGTGGAAGACTGAATGCTTTGCCCCTAATATCAAGAACAAGGCAAGGATGTCAACCGTCACCACTCTTATTCAACAAAGTCCTGGGAGATCTAGCCCCTGCAATAAGGCAAGAAAAAGAAATAAAAGGCATACAGATGAGAAGAGAAAAAATCAAACTGTCCCTATTTGCAGATGACATGATTGTCTATGTAGAAATACCAAGACAGCTACAAATACACTCCTGGAACTAGAAGTGATTTCAGCAAGGTTGCAGGATATAAGATCAACACAGAAGAAGCAACTGCATTTCTATATACTAACAATGAATATGCAGAAACCAAAATTAAAAACATGATATTATTTATAATCATTCCAAGGAAAATGCAGTATTTAGGTATACACTTAAGAAAACATGTACAGGATCTGGATGCTGAAAATTACAGAATACTGATAAAAAAATTTTTAAAGATCTAAATAAATGAAGATATACCATGTTCATGGATTGGAAGACTTGCCAATTCTCCCCAAATTAATCTATAGATTTAATGTAATTCTGATCAAAATCCCAGCAAGGTTTTTTGTAGACAAACACAAGCTTATTCTAAAATTTATATGGAAAAGAGAGGGAAATAGATTAGCTAAAACAATCTTGACAAAAAAGAATAAAGTAGAAAGAATCACTCTATCTGATATCAAGGCATACTACAGAGCTATAGTAATCAGAACAGTGTGGTTTTGGTGGAGGAATAGACACAGAGATCAATGGAACAGAATAGAGACTCCAGAAATAGACCACAATACAAAGTATTAGTATTCAGCATACAGAAAAACTTTTACAAATCAAGAAGATTACAGTCAAAAAGAAAAACAGGCAAAATATATGAACAGCAAACTCATATAAGAAGAAATAAAAACAGCTAACAGATTTATAAGGTGTTCAAATTCATTAGTAATAAGAAAACATATAAATTAAAAACAAGATACCATTTGATACCCATCAGACTGGCCTACATTTAAAGTCTGATAATTCTCAAGTGTTAGGCTGGGAGGATCTAGGGCCTCTCATGCACTGCTAAAAGATACTCTGGTGAGCTAAGTGGCAGTCTCCAGTAATGTTAAAGATGGGTCTGACTCTTAAACTCAGCAGCTTGACTTCTAAAGTCTGTACCCTAGGGCAGCAGTTCTCAAAATGTGGTCTGTGAACTCCTGTGGATACCTGAGCCCCTTCAGAAGTCTGTGAGGTCAAAACCGTTTCCATAGCAGCACTGAGAAGTTCTCTGCCTTGTCCACCACGTGGACATCTGCACTGAGAATGCAGAAGCATGGTGGGTACCAACCACTGCCGGTGCCTCAGCACAAAACAAGGCAGCAGCACCAACCCTATGGTAGTCAGTTTATTCTTCACCACCACACCCTCACGGTTAAAAAAGGTTTCGCTTCGGCATGTCCTTGCTTAAGAATGATTATTTTTATTAACTCTCAACCCTTAAGAACACATCTTGTTAATATTCTGTGTGATGAAACAGGAAGTACGCACAAGGCATTTCTGCTGCAGCCTGAGACGTAGGGCTGTCTCCAGGAGAAGCCCTCAGGCAACTGAGCTGTGAGCTGAACTAGACACTTTCTTCATGGAACACTGTGCAAAAGCAGGACTGGCAAACTACAGTCACTCAGACTTGGGTATCTGGTGCTTTTCTAGAAAATGAATGCTGTGAGCCTATCGCTTCAAGGAAAAAACTGGCAGGATTTGTTGCCAATGATAAAATTTGAGCTTTCAGGTGCAAGTTAAAGTTTGGAAAAACCTGTATCCTCCACTGTGAGCTACATCATATACTTTTCTGATGACAGTGGTGGTGAAATCAATGAATGTGATTTTTTGATATTATACAATGAAACATCAATATAGGGAAGATCTATGTAACTCAGTCAACCAGTATTTTCTAAATGATCAATGTATGATGTTGCAAACTCAGACGCTGGTAAAAGATTCATTCAAAGGACAAGACAGACCAATGGATTTTCACCTAACAGAGTATATAAAGTTCATTAATATGATTTCAGATAGAGAATATCCACAATTATCTGCAAAGCCTATTAAAATACTCATTCTTTTCCATATCTTCAATGCTTCATGCGAAGTTTTTTTTTCACATACTTTAACCAAAACAATATATCACAGAATGCAGAAGCAGATGTGGGAACCAGTTGTCTTCTATTAAGTCAGACATTAAAGAGATTTGCAAAAATATATAACAATACCGTTCTTTTCACTAATTTTGTTATTTTGGAAAAGTTACTTTTCATACAAAATAAGTTATTTAGGTAACATGTAATGGGCTTATGATTGTTATACTGTTATTAAATTAAATAATAATATTAACAATTTTTGTTTCAATTTTGAATACAGTAAATATCTGTAGGTATAATCCACAAAAATAAAAGTTCTTTGAGGTCCTCAATGATTTTTAAGAGAGTAAAGAAGTCCTGAGATCAAAAACTTTGAGGGCCGGCCTGGTGGCACAGTGGTTAAGTTTAGCACACTCCACTTCAGCGGCCCAGGTTCACGGGTTCAGATCCTGGGTGTGGACCTACACCACTCATCAAGCCATGCTGTGGCAGTGACCCACATAAAAAATAGAAGAAGATGGGCACAGATGTTAGCTCAGGGCCACTCTTCCTCAAGCAAAAAGAGGAAGATTATTGGCAACAGGTGTTAGCCTGTTGGCAACGGGTGTGAGGCCAATGTTCCTCACCAAAAAAAAAATAACTTTGTGAACTGCTGCCCTGGAGAAATTTACACAGGAGCACTAAGATTTCTGCACAAAGATGTCCACTCTAGCATTCTTTTAGAAACAAAAATTTAAGCACAAAGACTGCTCAGTTGTTCTCCAGAAACATCCTTTGTATTTACCCTGTCCGCTCCCACCATTACTGCCCTAATTTGGCCATAATCCTACATCCAGACAATGTCTGGCAATGCTGAAAATATGCTGCTGGCTCAACGCTTATGAGTGAATAGTGAACGGACCACTACAGCAGCTCCAACAGGCCTCCTCGCTCTCTTCTCTCCTCCAGGTACTTACCAGAGTAAATCCCACTTCTTAACCCAATCCCACATCAACCAAAAAAGCTTCTAAGTGAAATGTCATTTGAACAACAGATTTAAGCTTCAAAAAAAAAAGGTTTAAAAAGTGCTCTGTTAAATTCATCTCACCGATAATCAGAAAATCCAGACTGTTACTTCTCCTTCCTTCCCTTGAACAAGGGTTGAGTGAAGTGGCTGAATTATGCCATCTCAACCAAAGGCAGTTCAGTACCAGTCAGTTTTGCAAAACCAAAGGAATGTTAAACTTTGGAATGTGTCTACCTCAGATGAGGTCATCCAAATAGGCTTTTTCAAAACTGCAAAAAGCAATTCATCACACAGGTGACAACAGAAAAGTATCCTGATTTCCCATTAATAAGTGGTAAAGTGTGTTCTATCCAGGAATGAAAACTGTAAGAAGAAAATCTGGTTCTACCAAGGTGAGCAGAAATCTGGTACAGAAGCAGTGAGTCGTGGAAGAAGGAAAGAGATGGGCACTCTATGATCTTTCTGGAAAACAGACTCCACTGTACGTGTTTTCATACTTCTCTGTACTATCTTATCACCTTATCTTTACCTCCACTACAAACGTGTCAATAATGTGCTCCTGGGGGAGGAACCAGTGGGCAACTTCCTCTTCATCCATCACCGGGGCTAGATGAAACTGCTTCAGGTAAGTGTTGGTTAATTCTCGAACTGCTTTGATATCTCTCGGTTCCATCGGTCTCAAGCCTGAAGTCTTTGTAACCTTGTTAGAGTGAAAACAAAACAAATTGGGAAGTTTAAATATAAGAGAAGCAAAAGTACTGTGCACTAAAGCGTGGTCCACAGACCATCTGGACCAGCATCACCCACGAGCTTGTTAGAACTGCAGAGTCTTGGCCCCGCCACAGACCTACCATGTCAGAATCTGCAACTTAACAAGATTCCCTGGTGATGTACATACACATAAAGTTTGAGAAGCACTGAGTTAGAATATATGCTAGACAATGTGTTGTATTTTGGCTCTGTGTACCCGGTCATTGGTTGGTATCGCCCACGACCCAAACAACATCAAAGGGAACACTCCAAGTTCATCTATATCCCAATGCCGAGAATTTTAGCAGCCTACACGATAGGACAGAAGAATGTCTTCTGCAGTACTGTGCTTTAAATCTGCCCTGTCTGACATTTTGAAAACAGCTGAGAAACTTATTTTATTCAATGGCCCATGAAAAGGATGGGGCTATTTTGTTCTCATGAGCAACAAAAACAAAAGTAAATCATATTGGTGAGAATGGGAAGGCAAGCATTTCAGTATACTGCTGACTATTTTCTCAAGACGAATGGCTGGCTACCAAGGACTGGCTCTGGCCTCTCATGCCATCTTTTGATTAAAGGTGATCAGAACAGGTATTTGAATCCATTATTGCAGAGCATCACAATTTTTACATTAGGCCACAGGAACACAATAACCTAAAGGTGAGGACAGGTCCCCATTTGGATTTGTTCTAGTGCCTGTCCTCAAAAGAGCTCCAGACATCACTGAGCTCTCTAGGAACTATCCAGACACCAGACACCACTTGAGACCGAAGTGAGAAAGGCCACCACATCTGCCTGTTTTACAGACGAAAAATTAAAAACTTAGGGGGCTGGCCCCGTGGTCTAGTGGTTAAGTTCAGCACACTCTGCTTCAGTGGCCCAGGTTCGGTTCCCGGGCATGGACCTACCCAACTCATTGGTGGCCATGCTGTGGTGGTGACCCACATACAAAACAGAGGAAGACTGGCACAGATGTTAGCTCAGGGTGAATCTTCCTCAGCAAAAAAAAAAAAAAAAAAAAAAAAAAATTAAAAACTTAGAAATACAACTTCATTTCTCCAGTTCACTTGACTTTTTTTCTTGAAGAAGTACTGGATAAATTTTAAGTGATAAATAATGTGTATATAAATATTGCTACTGTACCTTTTCTGTCCTGAATTATTTCTAAATACTTTAAAATAAAGAACTGCCTCTAAAATTAGCTCATTGCAATGCCTGCATGCCCTACACTAGTAGTATGGCAGAAGCCCGAGATGGAAACCAGGATTTCATCCTGAGCACCGGCTCTCATGGATGTTAGTGGTTGTGCTGAGGCTTCTAAGGTTCCGTGACAAAGAGTGTGACTGAGTATTGATCAGTGGGGTGGGGAGATGGGAGATGCGTTCTTTGTATTTACAGACCCAACAGCTAAGTATTTACCTTGTGCCACTCAGTTATGACTTATGTAATCTATAAAGACATAGTAATGCAGCTAATATATATTTTACTAGTCTAATTTGAGAGAAATTAAGTCCTCAACATCTAGTAGAGAACTCATACTTCTAGTCTTTCTGTGATCTCAAAGCCAAGGGACCAGAAATCCCCAGGTCCCAGCTTCCATCCAAGGCTTAACCCTTCAGGCGAGCAGTGCACTAACAGCCTGGATATGCGTTGAAGGAATGAAATGAATGTCTAAGTTCTGTACCACAATTATTTAGCCAATAAGGTGAGGTGAAGGCTGCAGACATGGTAAAAGTCACTGGCAGCTCTGGAAAGATGACACTTCTACGGCCTGGTATTTATATGCCAGCCAGGCATGAAACTATATTTTTCTTTTGTTTCCCCTGAGCCAGCCAGTATTTGGTAGCATTTCTATACTGCAATTGATAGGAAGAGGGAACCTATGTGATTTCCAAATGCTGTTAAACGTTAACAAATATACATTTCTAAATGCTAGTAGGAAGACCAAAACCATATAGAATGTATACTATGGTCATTAAAAAAAATTATTTTCTGACATGAGAATGATCTCGATAAATTTTAATTTTATTTATTTATTTATTTTTCCCCCAAAGCCCCAGTAGATAGTTGTATGTCATAGTTGCACATCCTTCTAGTTGCTCTATGTGGGACGCGGCCTCAGCACGGCCGGAGAAGCGGTGCGTCGGTGCGCGCCCGGGATCCGAACCCAGGCTGCCAGTAGCGGAGCGCGCGCACTTAACCACTAAGCCACGGGGCCAGCCTCGACAAATTTTAAATAGCATTTCTTTCTTTCTTTTTTTTTGTTTTTGCTGAGGAAGATTTGCCCTGAGCTAACATCTATTGCCAATCTTCCTCTATTTTTGTATGTGGGTAGCCACCACAGCAAGGCCACTGACGAGTGGTGTAGGTCTGCACCCGGGAACCAAACCTGGGCCACCAAAGCAGCGCACTGAACTTAACCATTAGGCCACCTGGGCTGGCCTCAGCCTTTCTTAATATTAGACTGTTCTTTCTTTTGATACTGGTTCAGTTAACAATCAACAATATCAAGCAATTAGATTAATTAATGAAAGCAACAGAATACATGATATCTGTTAATAGAGAATATTCAGAAATAAAGACGAAGCTTGCCAACTTCTTTCTAGAGCAAAATATTCTTCTGCAGCACAATTCTCATTCATTGAATATTTATACCATGAAATCACCAAAATCAACATCTTTTGCCTAGCAGACATCCTTAAAGCAGCAGTTCTCAAATATTTTGGTCTGGGATCCCCTTTTATGCTCTTAAAAATTATTTTGTACTCCCAAAGAGCTTTGCTTATGTGGGTTATAGCTATCCATATTTATCATGTTAGAAATTCAGTTAGAAATTTTCAAACACAAAATATATACATGCACACATTCCAGAGCCTTTGGAAGACTTCACAGTATACTTGTTAGCAAATAAAAGTGAAAAATGCAAATTACATTTTAGCGTTATTATAAAAATAGTGTTGACTTCACGGACTCCCTGAAAGGGTCTCGGGGACTTCCAGGGGGTCCCTGGATCACACTTTGAGAACTGCTGTCTCAAGTCTCCAAAGGTCATAAAAATGGGTAGTAGAACTTAGATAAGGAAGACTCAGTCAAACAGCCTGTGTGGGCAAAGAGGAAGGGAGAAAGTATATAAACTTGGCCATTTATAAGCACTTAAACAAGTTTTTACAGAAGCATTAAAGCAGAAGAGAGCTTCAGACTATATTAGCTATAAAAAATATAAGGTTCCAGAAGACAGGGGGAGAATATTTACTTTTGCTGACTAACAATGGCTCATGTATCTGAGCCTAAACTTGCTTCTTTCTAACATTGTGAAGTCACATACTCTCCAAAAAACCTATAGAAGCATGACATAAATTTTAAAATGTAAAATAAACACTCAAATTATAGCTGCTGTCTTCAGGAAGAGGTGGGAAGAACGTTAAGCCTAGATAAAAATGGTATGCTGTGGCATAATCCGATAGAGTGGTAACGTTTTCTGCGAGTTCAATAAAAAGCAAAATAACATTTCCAGTAACTGAGAAAAATCTTAAATTTCCTAAGCAAACTCTGTATCACCATCAGATACACATTCCCATGATCCAACTAATATGCATTACTCGCTGGACTCTATGTATACTGAAATCCGTGTAACATCTGCGTATCGAGGCATACAGATAAAGTTCAGAGTTCTATTAAAAAACAGAAGCAGTGTTCTTCTCTGTCAAACGATGTGGTGTGAACTGTTTGGAGCCAAGATTCCAGAGTAGAGATGTAAGCAATGATTACGGTTATTTATTTGACTTAAAAAGGAGTAGGACATTAAACGCTAAAAAAAATCATCTACTGCTACCAAATCTCACGTGTCTTAGCATGTCTTCACAAGCGTGTCTTTCTTGCAACCCGAGAAAGATGCTGGCAGATTAATGTGACTCCTGCTTTTTAGCCACTTCAAATTCCTTCACCTTTAAAGTACTGAACCCCGCCCCAAAAAAAAATTCCAACTTGTTTGGAAATGCTCAACACCAAATTAAAAACAAACCGACGTGTGTTTAAAGGTTAGGGAAACATGTTACTCTTGAAGAAACCTTAGTCTTTTAGATAACAGTAGCTAATGGCGTGGGCTCTGGGATGGCTCTGTCCTGCCTAGAGGACTCTGGGCAAATCAATCTGGTGTTTCAATGTCCTCTTCTGTGAAATGGGGTTAACGACCTGCCCTCCTATGATTGTTATAAATAATAAACGAGACTACGGATGTTCAATGTCTAGCATAATGCTGGCCACAGTAAATGTTAACTCTCATATTCAGAAGTCCATGAGAACATAAAGCAGGCACTGTAAGCAGAAACAGTAATGATGAATCAGAAAATGAGATTGATCCATACAGCAAAAGTTGTATTCAATACAGTTCTTCACTTTATGCTTAATGGTACAAAACTGTTTGTCAACGATATGATTGCTAGCGGTGGTATCATCCATGTGGGCCCTTGTGAGAGCAGGTGGTCTGGTATATGCTGCATTGTCCAGCTTCTAACTCTAAAGGCAGACACCCAGGAGACCGCGGTCAGCACCTTCCGATTTTCCGACATCTGTACTTTCATCTCCTCTCCCCACTCTCTCTTTTTGTTCATATATTTGCTCTTCGTTTTTCTTTCCTTCCCTACCACTTAAAAGGAGGAAGGAAGACTGGAACATGCTGACAAGAGCTGTTTGGATCTTGACAATCGCCCTTTCCTGTCTGAACCTATGCTCTAAGGACTGCACAGCGAGATATGGGGTGGGACTGGGCCACGGTGCCCCCACAGGGGGTGTGTTAGAGGTGATGGCAGAAGCAGACAGATCTAACAGAGGAAATATGGAAGACTGGGGTCTGCATCCCAAGTCCTCCACTTATTAGTGACAGGCCCTTGTCTAAGTGTCAACCTCAGTCTTTTCACCTGTAAAATGGGGATAAAAAGTACCAACTTCAAAAGGTGGTTGTGAGAATATATTGAATAATTATGTGAGAGCACTTTATAAATGTCAGTTTATTGGGGAAGAAAAAGGCAGTCACCATAACAACATGGCTGGATAGGACTGCTCTATGCAAGTAACCTAAGACCACCATAACTAAGATGCTGAAGTGTGGCTTCACAACCACTGCCTGCCCAGTGATTTACTACCAACTTGTCTAAACTTTTGTTATCTATGAGTTGATTGATTCCTTTATATTCCAAAAATATAAAGGCTGATGGACAAAGTCAAGTTAAAAGTAATTTTAACAGGGGCCTGCCTGGTGGCATAGTGGTTAAGTTTGTGCACTCCGCTTTGGCAGCCCAGGGTTCACAAGTTCAGATCCCAGTCGCAGACTTAAGCACCACTCAACAAGCCATGCTGTGGCAGGTGTCCCACATATAAAGTAGAGGAAGATGGGCACGGATGTTAGCCCAGGGCCAATCTTTCTCAGCAAAAAGAGAAGGACTGGCAACAGATGTTAGCTCTGGGCTAATCTTCCTCATCAAAAAAAAAAAAAAAAAAGAAACATTAAAAAAAGTACATTCAGCACCTTAAATTCTAATCATCCTGAATAAACTAATGATAGGTACTAAAATTCCTATTCTTCGTTCCATTTTAGGCAACCTACATGTAAGTGGGTGCTTTCCTTACACACGAGCTGTTTTAGGTTCAATACACTGCAATCTGGGGAGACCAAAGTAGAACAGCATTAGCCCCTAGCAAAAAAAAAGCAGGCACCCTTGAAGTTTTTATTTCAACTTGCATATAGCAGAGTATTTAATGACTGGCAAGGAGGACACTGAGAATAAATGGTGCCTGCAGAGGCGGTGTTTCATCCTAGCTGTGTACTGTGCCCCTTTTTTCTCACTGCCATTTGTGCTCTGTGGGACTCTGTCCCTCTCAGTCACTCTGGGTCTTGGCCATTAGCAGAAATTGTCTCTAGCTTCAAAAGAATACTGATCAGTAACTGTTGTCACGATGATGCTGTGACTTCTCTGAACATCTCCCTATTTCTCCATTTCAGTGTTCACACCTCCATGCTCTCACCTTCATTTCTGTCGCCCCCACTTGAGAGGCCTGCTACTGCTTCCCCAGGTCACGTGGACCCTCCTTCGTCACATCGCCTGCGGTTCTATGTTCCCGCTCCCTCCTTGGCCTCACAGAGAGGTGGTGAGTTCCTCAGTTCGAGTGCCCACTGTCTCAACAACAGCTAAGACAGACAGGAAGAATGTGCCTTCCAATCCTGCTGCCAGGTGGCGAAGCCCAAGAATGATGAGCCTGACATCTCCAGCATCTGGTTTCCTTCACCTTGTCTTCTCTCCTGATTACATTCTGCCTCAGGTCAGAAATTAGCTGATTCTCGACTATCATCAGAGAAAAGACATCAATTCATGTAGCCACTGAAGACGTGCATTTGGTAAACACACAACTGGCCAAAAGACAAAAGGAACGGAGTCTGCTGCCCCTAGGAAGGCCACCACAGTCCTCACCACTTTCAGAGGAACATGGGTACACTCCATGTGAATCCTTCAATCAAGTTAAAATACCTGCTAAACTACTCTGTAACAACCCAAAAGAAAGAACAGCTCTGACGAAATCAAAACTTAAAATAGAAGATCCCATCAGTGGCAGACAGATTCTAAGATGGCCCCCAGTGATGCCCACCTCCTGGTGTTCATGCTCTCGTGATCCACTCGTCTTGAGTGTGGGTGGGACCTGTAATCTGCTCCTAACCAATGATATATGGCAACAGTGACTGGATGTCACTTTTATGAATTGGTTATGATGGTGCTCAGGGCAAGCTACCCCAGGAGGCACCACTCTGGTATGCGGATTATTTCGAGTTGAAGACAATAAGGACTCAGAGAACTCAGGAAGAATATTTGAGTTTCCCCTCCCAAACTGCCTAAAGAATTTAAAACAAAAGATCTGTTTCAGGAAAGAGTTATTATCATGATGGCTGTAAAGATAATGTAGGATAGAGGTTACAATAGGAAAGGCACCAAGCCCCTTTTATCAAAAAACTCTCTCTCTCCCTGACCACATTATCTATAGATGACCCTGAGAAGAGTAGTCAGGCAAACATTTGCATTTCTATCTCCATGTGAGTTGTCTTCTTGCCCTCTGAGGTCCCAGACCACTACCCACCCCCAACACCTTCCTCGCCTTTAGCTACAATACTTAAGCGGGCAGCTTAGACAGAAGGACGAGTTGCTCATTTCTGAGTTTCTCCCATGTATACATGTTATTAAACTTGGTAATATTTTCTCCTGCTAACCTGTCTTGTTGATTATTTGGCCAGCCATAAGAACCTTAAGGGAAAGGGCAGAGGGGGATTCTCCCTCTCTCCCCACATTACATAAGGTTCTCACTTCCACCTTGCTAGCAGATTCTCTCTATAGGCTCTCTCCTTACTGGCTTTGATGAAGCAAGCTGTCATGCTGTAAGCTGCCCTCTGGAGAATCCCATGTGGCAAAGAACTGAGGTAGCCCCTGGCTGACAGCCAGTAAGGAACTGAGGCCCTCAGTCCAATTGCCTGCAAGGAACTCATGCCTTCCATGTGAGCTTGGAAGCAGGTCCATCCCTGGTCAAGTTTTCAGATGAGACATCAGCCCTGGCTGACATCTTGATGGCAGCTTCATGAGAGGCCCTGAAGCAGAGAGGCCTCAGCCAAGCTGTGCCTTGATTCCTGACCTAAAGAACCTGAGAGACTGTAAACGTGTTGTTTTAAGCTGCTATGTTTGTGGTAACTTGTTATGCAGCAATAGATAACTAATACACCACCCAAGCCCCAAATAAAGCCAAGACTTTTAAGCACATTTAAGTTTTCCCCTATTAAGAAACAACTTTTCAAATTGGGAATTAGCTGGTTTAAAAAGAGGATAATTTAATGAGACATTATTTCCTCTCCCAAGGTCTCTCCTGTAAACCTCATTCTTTAGTTCCATTGTGTTAAGATATCATCAGAAGCCTGAACTTTTCTTCCCTCTTACTTAACAGACAATAAATACTCAAAATTTTAAAACTTACATGTCTTGAGTTCAATCCCATCCAACCATAAACTGCAGAACTTAAAAAAGCCTTATAAAAACCAAACTGGTATTTCCAAATGAACGTCCCCACTTTTCCTAGCCCCTGAGTTCCGTGCAGTCTTTTTAGCTACATAGTCACGTCTTCAGACACATGGGCCCATTTTTAGACTCTTGCAAATAATTCTTTTCTACATTAAAAGCTTCAGTTGTTACAGCTTCGAAAAGCTGCAAATAATCTCTTACTTACATCCGGTAGTCTGTACAGCTTCATTGTTCTCTGTAAAGTCATATTTCTACTCAAGTGAGAAAATTTCACTTCGACCAATTTTCTGGGGTTGAGCGATCGATGCCAGTATCTGGAATACAATAAAGGTTTTAAAATTGGATTGATTCCTAACTCTCCACATTTTTCTGCTTTGTCTCAGCTCAGCTGTTACAGAAGCATTTAATGAACACTTATGTTGTATGTGGTACAGGGCTGAATGCTGGTCTTCTTCCTATGCAATTATTTTATCAGTCATTTTTCACCTCTAAAATATGTCCTGCATTCCTAGTTAATGTTCCTTTGTGACTTTTCACCTCTTTCAGTATAGAGAAATCTTAAAATTGCAAAAGAAATATTAATAATGCTCAGTTTGCAAGTATTTAATGACCATCACTGATTTTAAAAAAAGTTTAAAAACATGAAAATATTCCCCCTCAATCAGCAGCCTTCACATTTATATAATGCAAACCAAAGAAAACAACTTCTTGAGAAACTAGCTTGAATTTCGTAAGTGATTCCAGTTTAGGTACTAGGGTGAATGATTTGTATGAAAATATACCTGTGAAGTCTTACTTATTCTGTTTATTTATGAATAATTTAATAGGAGATAATAGTTTTACAATTTTATCTTTTATACTATGTTTACCTGAAAATTCATCTTATTTGAGTCAACGGAAACAGTGGAGGGAGATCAACTCTTTCTGATGCTTTACAAACAGGTTAGTCAAGTGACACCAGATAAACAATTTTCTTCCTAGATTAACCTCTGAAAGCTTGATAAGATCAGATGAAGTCATAAAAACTGAGCTGAAGCCTTCTTCTTATTAGCAAACAAGTACCTCTGGGCTTTTCAACTGATGTTTATCAAACTTTTGGAATAGTTCCTAATAGTGCTGCAGAGCACATATAAAACTGAGTGTCGGGGGAGGAAAGATGATGGTATACACAGCACAGTTCAAGATCACGATGCCCTGGGTTTCCCCGAGGTAGAGACAGCAGTCATCTTTCCAATGGAAGAGACACAGAATTGGAGGTCCAGCATTATTAGCCTACACGTGGCTGTATGGTACACTGGAAGGAATACTGGGCTCCGTGGTTCCAGGTTCGAGTCTCCACCTCGGCTACCAACCAACTACACACTCACAGTAAGCCAAAATCCCTCTGAGTTACACATAAGGAGAAGGATACTTCTAGCAACACAGCAGGGAGGCTCAACGCGTGAGGGACAAGTAAGATGCAAGGTAAGGGTGTGATGCTATTACCTGCACGTGGCCACTGGCTTGGGAAGAACCACTCCAGCGGTATAGACAGCCTGGAAAATCCCTTCCAAGTTCACTCTTCTAGTTATTTCTCGAATTAACACTGGGGCTACCCGTTTTGATCTCAACTTCTTATGAACACAAAGAAAGTTGATTTCGACCATCTTCTTCACACTAAGAAAGATGTCAAAAATCAGAGTGAATGTAAGATGAAAACATTTAAAAAAATAAGACAACACCCATCAAATTTCAAGACTAAGAAACTGAAGGACCTCCTTTGATACAATATTTAAGAAAAATATTCTATCATTTAGACATTTCACAAACTCAGATAGATACACTATTCCCCGTACTCCCCTGCCAGAATGATAATAACTCTAGGCCATGGAAATGCATACCCCCTTGTTCTAAATACATTTTAGGACTTTGGTCTTTTATAAGTTTTCAGTTTAGAACTGGATCAGATGTGCTTCTTAAAGCTTCTATATCTGTTTTTCCTGTAATGTATACAATTATGGCAATAACTGGGTCACCCAGATGCAGAATCTGATAAGACATTGCTTTGGAGTATAATGCAGTCCCCAGGACCCCTGAGAGGTGCCTGGACCAGGCCAGCTGGTGCTCTTCTGAGCTAAAATAAACCTTCTAGAGCTTCAAAGCCCATCCCCTGCTCTGGTTCCAGATATGCAGGCTTTTTGTTTAGCACACAAAATTCCTTGGGATCAAACACTTTTAGCAATAAATAAGCTAACCCAATATATTTAAAGGTAAATAGACCTATTATGCTTGAGATCTTTGACTTTCTGGGCTTGAGACCTAGAGCAAAAAATGCTACAAACTTATCTTATGGATAGAAAGTTTTTATGCCTCCTAAACGTTTTTTTCAGTATTTTTTCTCCCAGAAATAAACCTGAAATACCTGTTTATGGCTTTGTTTATTCTGATACATATATATGTACATGTATATGCATATGTGTGTGTATACATATATAATACATATCTGTGTGTATGCATGTATGAGATTGTGGGAGAGTGAGCAAAAGAGATAGAAAGAGAGAGAGAAAGAAAAAGAGAACAATCCTTTTTTTGTTGTTCACAGTCCAAGATTTTTTTCATTAATTAATAAACCATATATACATATATTTTTTTTTTCTTTTTTTGGCAGGGCAAGATTCACCCTAAGCTAACATTTGTTGCCAATCTTCCTCCTTTTTTCTTCCTTTTTCCCCCCTAAAGCCCCAGCACACAGTTGTATATTCTAGCTGTAAGTTCTTCTGGTTTTTCTATGTGAGCCGCCGCCACAGCATGGCTACTGACAGACTAGTGGTGTGGTTCCACACCAGGAACCACACTGGGCCGCTGAAGTGGAGTGCACCGAACTTTAACTGCTAAGCCATCAGGGCTGGCTCAGCAAACTTTTTTTTTTTTTTTTTGGTGAGGAAGATTGGTCCTGAGCTAATATCTGTTGCCAGTCTTCCTCTACTTTGTATGTGGGATGCCACCACAGCATGGCTTCATGAGCGATGCAGATCCAGGATCTGAATTCACAAACCCTGGGCCACCGAAGTGGAATGTGCCGAACTTTAATTGCTAGGCCACTGGGCTGGCCCCTCAATAAACTATTATTTAAAGCAGTTTTAGGTTCACAGCAAAACAAAGCAGAAAACGCAGAGTTCCCATATACTCCTGCCCCCACACATATACAACCTCCTCCACTAGCACCAGCCTGCATTAAGTCATTTTAAAAGCCTATTATAATTGCAATTCTCAGAAAAGCAACGAAACCGACACAGGCAAACTTCAATACGTACCTGTCGTAAATCCGAATGTTTGCCGGGATGGCACTTATGAACCCAACTAGCTTTTTGTTCGAAGACACTCTGACCCCACAGTGCCACTGAAGGAGCCAGCCTGGAGGACGCAGAGCCCTGGAGTCAACGTGGGCAAGGAAAACAGGCGCCAGTTAGTGTCCGAGAAGACGGGGACAGACAGAGACACGCCAGCCCACCCACGGCTCACGCGGCCAGCGGGACTCACCACAGCAGGAACTCGGGCGAATAGTCAAAGCGGAACATGTTGTCATCATCTTCCACGTAGTTCTCATTCAACAAGGTGTACAACTCCTTGAGCTACAAGACCAGAGAGTGTCCTGTCTCTGGTGCTCAGAACCAGCCCAGAGGCAGCGCGTGTGAACGCAGGTGCTGAATGTAAAAGTGCTACTCACCACTTCAGCGTCACCCAAGTCTAAAGTGTCCCACATAAAACCCTGCGGCAGGGAATACGGCTCCTGGCGCACATTGTCTTTATCTGCCTCGATGGCCCCGTGGGATGTTATGACTTCATCTGGACAGGGAGAGAGAGAGAAACACAAGGAGAGAGAATATTCAATTACAAAGTATTCAAAATGGTCTGTGACATAAATCAAAATCATATTTAGGGTCCTTGGGTTTAATATGATCTTTGAAAATATGCTGTTGTTCCAGCCAGCTCTGGAGTGAAACAGTGGTAGAGAAGAATTGCTATGTCACCAATTAAATAAAGAGAGAAATCCTTTGTCATCTGATGACAAAGTGTATATCATGAAATGATAGTGAGTTCTCCGTCTCAATCCCTAAATTACAGGTTTATCGCCCAGTGCCACTGTAGACAACGCACGTTTGATGACAGCCTTGGAGATGTTGTCTTTTGACTCTGTATTTCAACAAACTGGGAAGAAAGGGCTGCATTGACCTCTGACCCCTCCCAGCAAAATCTAAAGTTTATTTCAGGACTGTTTACTTCTCTCCGCCTGGACTGCTGGCAGTGCTGTTCCAGTCATCAACGTCTCTAGCGATTTCCACAAAGGTGCCCTTTTCTGATTCCTTCTCTGCAGCTTCCCAGTGTGGTTGGGATAAAACCCAGGGGTGGGATAAAACCCAGGCTCCTGACCATGGCCACTGCCTGCCCAGCCACCCTCGGCACCCACCCGCTCTGCTCACAGGCTTCAGCCACGCTGACCTCCCCCAGGCGGGCCCCAGCTCAGGGCTGTCAGGGCTTCCCTCTGCTCACAAGGCCCCACCTTCTCTTCAAGTGGCTGGCCGCTTGAGTTTTTTCGTTTATACACTTAGACATCAATTTCTCACAGCATCTTTGCCTGATGAAAGCTTTTTCCTACCTGGAGTACGTCCTCCCGCAAACCCCCATCTAGCTACCATTTATCCTACTTTCCCACCACTGTGTCCCTGGGATATACTCCACTGCCTGGCATTTAATACCAGACACTCAACAATTATCTGCTAAATATTATTCAGCCATAAAAATGAAGGAAATCTTGCCATTTGCATCATGGATGGAACTTGAGGGCATTATGCTAAGTGAAATAAGTCAGACAGAGAAAGCCAAATACCATATGATCTCACTTACATGTGGAATCTAAAAAATAAAAAGAAAAAACAAAAAAGAACTTATAGACACAGAGAACAGATTGGTGGTTTTGAGAGGCTGGGGGTGGAGGAAATGGATGAAGGGGGTCAAAAGGTACAAACTTCCAGTTATAAAATAAATGAGTCCTGGGCATGTAATGTATAGCATGGCGACTATGGTTAATAATACTGTCTTGTATATTTGAAAGCTGTACTGTATAGGTAAAAGTTGCTAAGAGTAGATCTTAAAAGTTCTCATCACAAGAAAAAAATGCTGTAACCATGTGTGGTGATGGATGTTAACTAGACTTATTGTGGTGATCACTTTGCTATGTAGACAAATATCAAATCATTACGGTGTACACCTGAAACTAATATAACGTGGTATATCAATTATACCATACGGAAATACAATAAATAGACAGACAAAACCAGAAGACAAACAAGAGAACAAATATCCACCGAATAAATGACCCTCAGGTACAAGTTCTCAGCATCACAGACCCTTTTACAGGCAGAGTCACAGGGTCTGCACCAGCGCCAAGGGGAAGGTTCGTTTTCTCTCCTTTCTACTCCCTGACGTTGTTACTTCGTCTTATCTCCCCTCTACCAGCTCATCTCCATGTGAACACCTCAGGCTTCCACAAGTCAGCCCAAGTGGCCCGAGTCCCAGGTGCCCTCTAGAGTCCCTTCAGAGCTTTACCTAGGGCTTGGCTGTCCCACAACATCAGGGGACCATCCCATGTAAGCAGCTCCCAACGGCTGGCTGTGTTAGGCTGACCTGGGACACCAAGCACTCTGGAGAGAAATTGAGAAGCAGAGTCCCCCTGACTTTCCCACATTCCCCCGACCTCAGGCTCCCTCCTCCCCCACTAACCTGGATGCTGCCTTAACTGAGGTGTGTACTAGAAGTTCTAGGAGCTGGAGAATCCTGCAAGGATTTAGCGGAGGGCCCAAAATGTGGTGAGCACCTGAGCTATCTTCCCAGAGAGGTGCGCTGGGGTTAGGTGCCTGCTGGAAGCGGCCTTCCTCTCTCCAGGGCAGGGACCTAAATGCCACCAGCAGCTTGCCAAGCAGCATTCAGCTAAACCCGATACGCTCAGATCAATAAATCTACATCCCTTCAGCTAAGGGTCACTCAATTCCATCTCATTTAAAATCCTGAAATTCATTCCAGAGAGTCTTCCTCCACTCCCAAATACACTCCTGGAGCCTGAAAGAAAACCCAAGTGAGGATAAAGTCTTCCTTCTTTCTTTCACACTCTGAAGCTTGTGCTTCTGAAGCTGCTTGGGGTGGGCGTAGGTGGGAGATGAGTGGTGACTTCAAGTCTGAAAACCATTATTTGAAGGCAGAGAGAAGGCTTGCTCCCTGATTTAGATGTGATAAAACTGACTATTTGTACATAACCGGGGCTATTAAACAGTTTTGTTTTTGTTTTTGTTTTGTGAGGAAGATCAGCCCTGAGCTAACATCCTTGCTAATCCTCCTCTTTTTGCTGAGGAAGACCGGCTCTGAGCTAACATCTGTTGCCAATCCTCCTCCTTTATTTTTTTTTTACCCCCAAAGCCCCAGTAGATAGTTGTATGTCATAGTTGCACATCCTTCTAGTTGCTGTATGTGGGACGCGGCCTCAGCATGGCCGGAGAAGCGGTGCGTCGGTGCGCGCCCGGGATCCGAACCCGGGCCGCCAGCAGCGGAGCGCGCTCACTTAACCGCTAAGCCACGGGGCCGGCCCGTATTAAACAGTTTTGAATGGCAATTACAGATTCTGGAACCTGAACAATCAAGAAAGAAAAATATAGAAATAATTATATGATAATCTATCTTCATGCAAACGTAATACAAACCATCAAGTTTAGCTTGTAATACATTTAAAACATTTTTATGTTTCTTATGTCATCATCTTTTTTTGCATAACAGGAAAGAAGAACAATTAAATGATGTTCATGGAAACTTAAGTGGTAAACGTCTTAGTGAAACGCTGGGGCTGGCCCGGTGGCGTAGTAGTTAAGTTTGCGCGCTCCGCTCTGGCAGCCCAGGGTTCGCAGGCTTGGATGCCGGGCATGGACCTATGCACCACTCGTCAAGCCATGCTGTGGCAGGCGTCCCACGTATAAAGAAGAGGAAGATGGACACGGACATTAGCATAGGGCCAATCTTCCTCAGCAAAAAGAGGAGGATTGGCAACAGATGTCAGCTCAGCGCTAATCTTCCTCACCAAAAAAAAAAAAAAAAAAAGTCTTAGTGAAACATGATGGAGCAGACAAAGCACTGAGGGAAGAGGCCTATTACGGAGACTCTTAGATGACCCAAAGCCCTCACGAGGTGGCCCGGTTCCCTTATACACTGGAATGTTATTGCATTGGTAATAATTAACACCACTGGTGAGTATTCAGAATCCTACTGTTAAGCAGCATAAAATTTTCCATTTCAGTGAGATTTAATAGGGCAAATTTTCTGCGTCTTTCAGAATAATTGAGATGTGAGACTGCTAAACATTTATGTATAGAAAAAACAACTCCATGAAGCTCAGAACAAAAACGGGGAGGAGGAGACTCCCTGTTTAGATATATTTTTAATATGCTAATGTTTCAAGTTTGGGGAAACTGGATTTTTTAGAGGGATAGGAATTACACTAAAACTGTTGTTACTAAAAACCAACGTCACTATCCCATATTTATATTTTAAGAAGAAAAATGTTACTTTTGTGTAAATTTCTAATCTGTGGTCTGAAAACAAATTATATAAGTCAAGAAGAGTGTCTTCTGTGTTTTTTGTTTCTTGTTAATCCAGTTTTGTTTTGAGGGGGAAAAAAAAAGGCAGAAAAGCTTACTCAGTTTGGGTACCGGCTGCGTGTCCCAAAACTGGTATCTGTGTTTGGCAGCCTCATCGATATTCCTGGCAGGGCCCTGGCATGCAGATAACAGCTCCATGGCTCTCTGGATATCCTGCAACTTCTGCATTGGAATGGTGGGATTCTACAAAAGCAAAGACACACAGACACAAAATATAAGGAAGCTGCCACTGCTCCCAAACCTGGGGCGGGTACACGTGCATCTGCCTTGGCGATTACAACATCACAAAACGAGCAATCCTCCTCTATGCCCGGTCAGGGCCTTGGGCTCAAGTATGCTAACAGATGAAAATATAAGCAAACGTTTTGTTAAAGATAAACAGCTTTGAGTTTTAGTGGGGCTCTAAGAGTTGGGGAAATCTAACATAAATCAAACCACCCTTTGCTTCAGTATCCCACCCACCTGCCAATGGCCCCAACCATTACTCATCCTGGCGGAGCAGCAAAGAGGAGTGACATGCAGTACATGTATTACTGTCACACAGCAGCCAGTCAGCCACTAGCCTTGGTTTCACTGTTAGGGTTAATGCTCTGCGATAGCAATGTGGGGACAAAGGAAATAACTTCTAGAATGGAAACCAGGCAGAGAAGGGGAATTTTAGTTCATTAAAAAAAAGAAAGAAAGAAAGAAAGAAATCTGAATGTAGTGCTGAGCTGGGAAAGAAGTCAATCAAGAAAGGAAATCTCCAAGGATGCCTTTCTCCTGGACCACACGCTGCCCACCCCCAACGCTGACGCTGCTCCAGAGACAAACCTTCCAACACGAAGAATGAGCAGTTTCCACTATGAACTCAGATCCTTTGCAACCACAGCCTGTTCTCCCCAACCGAAGTGTTGGAAACCGACCTCCTTTTCAAGTAAAACCTATTCTCAGGCTAAATACCTTTAAATTCTAAAGTTCCTTCCTCAAAGCCAATATTCCTGCCATCTCTGAAGATTCCCGGCTCTTTTTTTTGGAAAATCCCTCAAATAATGTAATGCAACTTGGAAAATGAGACTATACTTGAAATAAAAGAGTAATATAGTATATAGGACTGGATGTGGAAATCAGGGAGTTTTTCCGGTATGTGAAATAATTGATTTGCTTTAGAATTGTGATGCCACACAAAGAGCACTCTTCCCTGTGGTTCAGAAGCGGTTAGAAGGAAATTTCAGAGCCCTTGGGTTTCCTGTATGTCAACACACCATGGGCACCAAGGAAAGGTACCATCGACCCTTGGTGGGTTATAAACAGCAGCTCTGAACTTCTGCTCAATTTTGAACCTGAAGTCTGTGGTCTGGAGCAAATCTTTTACCCTGGGAAGCTTACCCGTTTCACAGTACAAAATGGGGTTTAATTAATACAGCCAACCTGTGGTTGTGTCACTTAATGGGTTTCTTTAGGAATCTTGCCTCTAAAATGATTGAAGGAAACAAAGTACTGGAGACTAACCAGAGGCAGGTTAAAGTCTTAATGTCTCCACTTAACAAGTCTAACAGCATCGCCCAGGGCTGCCCAAATTTTTGTAAGCTGTTCATCTTATATTTTGATTGAGGTCTAAATCATAAGGTCATATCTCAGTTACACATACTAATTTAACAAAATACTTTCGCTGTTCTAATTCATCGTATTTTTAGATTTTTCTTGTTTGGGTCTCTTTTAGACCTCCAACATAAAAGGAAATGATGTCTAGCAAAATGAAATTTACACCCATTTGAACCCCCAACAACACAATCTATGAGGAAACCTACAACTTAAATAGGAACTGAGAGCACAGCATATCAGTCCTAAGGCCTGAACATGCATCCACTTATCTTTAAAAAGGCAAAGTGGAACCCAGTCTTACAAAAATATACCTACAGGATCTGCACTGAATTTGTCATGCTAATTCTTCTTTCCTGATATTTGAGTTAAATCCTCCAACACTAAAATATCAAACTCAGACTTCTGTAACAAACGTGAATCAGCATCTTTGCTCCAAAGGAGCCAATGATATCCCAACTCCATGAAGAAGCCCTCGGAGTGGATTCCACTCAATTGAACTGGCCTCATCAGGTTGACCAGCAGTCTTTACACGAAATCACCATTCATGAAACAGTTTATCCCAATAGTCTCTATTTCCATGCTTTCTTAAAGCAGATTCAAGTAAGCACAATGCTCAAATCCAAGGTGACAAAGCAGTAAGGAAAACTCAGCTATGACAGACTCGTAAACCTATCCATTCACCTTCCGTAGGAGCACCACCTGGGGAGAAATGAATTAGTGTTAGGAAAGGTGAGCACGTCTATCAACCCCACGTTAGCATCCCACTATTATATTCCTAAGAGCCAGGCACGCCTCTTCTCCTCCTCATTGCTCCATGTGAATACTAAACACCAACTCTACTCTCTACCCATTATTTTCCAAATTTAATACCTTGGAAAAAATGTCAAGTCCCCTACCACTAAGAAGTCTCCAAGAATCCAGACAAATATAATTTTATTTTGGTTCTTGAGTGTAGACCAGAACAGTCTCTAAAGACAGTCCACTATAATGTACCGTGTCACCCAAAGCTGACATTAGCTTAAGGGAAAGAAGCCTTAGTTTTAAAAAACGCAATGGAGAAAAGCTCCCATTAAGACAATTTAGACAATTAAAAAAGAAAAGAATTTTTGTATCATATAATGCTACCAGTTCCTCCTGCCTGGGCTGGCTCTAGTTTCTTCTAAGTGACGAGAGGTGGGAGAAGGGCTCAAAATGACAAGGGGTACAGAGATGGGCAGAAGCTGATGGTGATGACAGAAGCAATAAGATGTCACAACTGCATGTAAGTAAGGCCGCATTTACCTGATGAAGCAATGCTCAGAAATGGAGAGAATATCGGGCAAGCTCATGGTGGACCTTGTATGAGTTACCTTGGAAATGATGTCTGGTGGACAGAATATTTATTACCTGAGAACCAAGCTGAAAAGCTAGGGAGGAAGATTCCACTTTCTTCTCACCCCACAGAGGCAGGCAGGGAAAAATTGGGGCAAACAATGCTCCTTCTCAGTGATTCTTGGTCCTTACGTGTAAACAGGTAACACCAACAAAAACTACCTGTAAGACTCACTTCATGTGATACAATGTAAACTTTGTACAAGAAAAAAACTTAAACCCCATAAAACCTGCATCTTGCGAATAATGGCCACGGAGACAGTGCTCTGTAATATAAAAACCATTTAATAAAAATGATCTAACTATAACCTCATAACAGCCCTGTGAGATGGGGAGAAGGCATCATCCTCATTTTGCAGATGAGGAGACAGGATTATGGGGGTGCAGAACCTTGTGCAAAGGCACACAGCTTGAGAGCTATGGGGCCAGGACTGAGCCCAGGATGCTCACTCCACTTCCTGAGCCCTTTCCACTACACCACGCATTACCCAGGACCCCAGGACAACTTATTTGGAGCTTTGCTGTTAGTGCTCAGTCGATTCCAACTCCCAGCACAGCAGAGGGGACCCCTGGCCGTTCCTGCGCCATCCTCTCACCATCGGGCACTACATCAGACAATGCTCCGCTGCTATTCATAGGGTTTTCATGGCCAATTGTTTTGGAAGTGGGCGGCCAGGTCCTTTTTCCTAGTCTGTCTTAGTGTGGAAGCTCCACTGAAACCTGCTCACCCTGGGGGCCGATATTTGAAATCCCAGTGGCAGAGCTTCCAGCATCATGGCAACACGCAGCCGCCACAGTATGACACCCGACAGAGGGGTGGTGGGTTCCCTGACCGGGAAACAGACCCAGGCCAAGGTGATGCAGAGCTGGCTTATTTAGAGCTACGACCATCAAAATATATCATGTCATTGTACTTCTAACTCTACCCCTTTTCACTGCGAGCTGCTCACACCAAGAGGGCTCTGTGCCTCCCTGGGCCCAGCACACAAGGCCTGTGTTCACAGCCAGGGCGACTGGGGTTGGCCCACAGAAAGGGGTGCCTGCCCTCTGCACCACCACACACACACGAGGCCGGCAACCTGCCAACACAGGGCCCAGCCGGACAACTTCTGCTTTGGTCTAAAATTGGTGTGTTTCTTCAGGGGGATCGTTGGGAGCTATTTCCCACCCTTCATCAAGATTGGCCACTGAAGACCGGTCCGATTCAAAGTCAACGTAAGACTTACCTGGGGCTGCTCCCGCTGAAATCTGCTGCCAGATGATGATGTGCTATTCAGGTAATTAGACAGACACCCAGAAAAATTAAAACGTGAATATATTCTGAACTAAAAGTCATCAAAGATTAAGTGTAACTTCAAAAAAAAAGAAAAAAAAACTAACGAGCTCACATGAGACTTTCTTCTAGAACTACAATCAACATACTAATTCACCGAGAAAGGGGCAAAATGCAGGCAGAATCCACACGCACACACAAGCACAGTATGTACCTCCTAGTTATTCGGGTGCCAGCGTCAGTTTGAGCAAGGCCATAAATACCTCCAGTTATAGTGGCATCTATACACAGTCACAACACAACCCTGATGACACCTCTGAGCTGCACAAACCCCTCTCGCACGCACAAGAAACCACAGAGGTAAAAATAAACCGGGCCTCTCACTTTTGAAGGCTGCTGGATTTTAATCTCCTGGGAATCCGATGCCGAGTCGGACTTGGTGCCTCCGGAATTCGGTTTCTCCTTTTTTCTCTTCTGTTTCTTCTTTTTCTTTTTGGCACCCAAATCCCCTCCGGGACTTCTGTTAGTAAATTCACAGAGGGTAAAACAACAACAACAAATTATTATATAAGATTAATCATCTAGAACAACACACATTATACACAGGAGAAAAAAACTATGTTAGGATGTGCAATGCTGTGATTTATAAGAATAGATGTATATATTTTTGATCACTCAGATGACCAAATATATATTTCTCATATATTTGCTCTTTATCCATGGTTCCCGGCTTACAGCTCCCAAAACTTGGAATTTCCTAAGCGATGAGAGCTTAAAGGTGTCTCATGTTAATGAGGTGACTTTTAGAAAGATGGGGGCTGGTTGCCAGTAGAGCCAACCATGTGATTAGAGAGTGGGAACTTTTAGTCCCAGCCCCCAACCTCCAGGGAGGAGAGAGGGGCAGGAGAATGGCCAATGATTTAATCAACCATGCCCATGAAATGAAGCCTCCATAAAACCCAAAAGGAGAGGGTTCGGAGAGCTTAGCTGGCGAAGACGTGGAGGTACTGGGAGAGTGGTGCACCCAGAGAGCACGGAACCTTTACGCCCCTTCCCACATACCTTGCCCTATGCATCTCTTCCATCGGGCTGGTCCTGAGTTATATCCTTTTATAATAAACCGGTTATCTAGTAAGCATAATGTTTCTGAGTTCTGTGAGCCACTCTAGTAAATTAATCAAACCCAAGGCTGGGGTCGTGGGAACCTCTGATTTATAGCCAGTCGGCCAGAAGCACAGGTACCAACCTGGGCTCTTGACTGGTGCCTGAGGTGGGGGGGTTGGAGGGGGTGCCGTCTTGTAGGACTGAACCCTTAACTTGTGGAATCTGATGCTACATCTGGGTGGACAGTGTCAGAAATGAGTTGAATTCTCTGACACCCTGCTGGTGTCCAAGAATTGCTTGGTGTTCTGTGGGAAGCTCCCCCTCTACACACACACGTGTTGGAATTGGGTCCAAGAACCCAAAACAGGATGTAAACGGGGAATGAAATTTAGTCAGATTAGGAAGTTAACAGGACAAGTAACTCAGAAGAATATTAGCCTACACTCAGTCATACTGCAGGGTGCTTAGATGTCAGTTAAGCAGAAAAATTGTGGCTATAAACCATCTTTATAACGGAAGTCAAATAGCCTTCACAGTTATCATTGCTTCATGGATCTACTTTACCAGCCTTTTAAGAGAGAGATACATGTTGTAAAAAATTCCATTATAATCATCTCTCGGGTACAACAAACCACTAATTTTGACACCACAGAACCAAAGAAAATGCTTCTCTGCAGAGGGAGGAATTCTTTCTGATAAAGACTTTTACAAAAGGGGCCGGCCCCGTGGCGTAGCAGTTAAGTTCGCATGCTCTGCTTCAGTGGCCTGGGGCTCACGGGTTCAGATCCTGGGCACGGACCTACACACTGCTCATCAAGCCATGCTGTGGCAGCATCCTATATACAAAAAAAAGTAGAGGAAGACTGGCACAGATGTTAGCTCAGCAACAATATTCCTCAAGCAAAAAGAGGAAGATTGGCAACAGATGTTACCTCAGGGCCACTCTTCCTCACCAAAAGAAAAAAAAAAAACATTTTTACTAGAAGGATTAACAACTAAAAAAACTCTACGTGAAAAAAACATTAACTGGTAAAACATTTCTGTTTGGAACCCTCGTCATCCGATGGCAGTCATCTTCTGAAAGAGCAAAAGGAAAAAAAATATACAAGGAGACTTAAATTTTCCATTTGTTTGGGCCTACTCTACACAGTATTCCCAGAAGGTAAATTAAAATTTAGAGTCAGAGATTATTATTACATTATTGCCTGATATAGGGAAAAGTGATGGAAACAATCAGTTCTGTTCTATTGTTCTCAGTCATCTCTATCTGTCCCTATTTTCTTTCTTGAATTTTTACTTAATTATCAAATACATATTCATCACACAAGACACAAATGTCATTAATATATATTAACAGCCTTATAACATTGTCCCTCAAAGGCAGCCAATAGTTTTTCTGGTATATATTCTTCCAAAATTGTCTTTCTTCTCTAAGCATGCCCTCGTTTTTACTGTGAATAAGTTTTAAACAAAAACTGAATCTTAAACATACTGTTTTACAACTTGCTTTTTTTCTCCTTCCACTTAACAACGTGTCTTGAACGTCTCTATCTTTTCAAGATATACTGAGCTACTTCATTTCTTTTTAGCAACTGGATAGCATTCCATCGTGTAAATATACCATTATTTTATTTAACCCTTTCTATATTAAAAATGCTGCAAAAAAATATTCTGATACATCTTTGTGCATTCATGCTAATAGGTCCAAAGGTAGAAATGCTAGGTCAAAGGGCATGCACATTTTTAGTTTTAATGGATAATTAAGACTGCTTTACTAAATACTGTACCAATTTCCATTCCATCAACAGTAAATCAGTTTCCAGTTCTGCACGGTAAAGAGCATGGAAGTTGCCACTCCATCCTAACAACAAGTAAAAAGCTGAATAGACCGAAAATTCAACAACTCTTCTTGGATCCGTAGAGAGAGGAGGATGCAGGGCAAATTGCCGCCCCCAAGACTGGACAGAGAGAGATGAAAACAAGGAGTCACAGAGTGAGAGGAGAGACTCACGAGTGGAAACTTCTGTGGGAACCAGTGCCGGGGTAGGAAAACCTGGACTGTAATTGATGAACTGCTGTGGGTTGAGTGTGGGCAAGTCTGAGAGTTAAAAACTCCAGGGGGACCTGGTCACAGGGGTCTCCCACACTTTTGCGAGTTTTACCTCCAGGAGCTCAACCAGGTGCTCAGAGTAAATATTGGAGAAAAATCCCTTTGTACTTCTGGCAGCTGGAAGGCAAGAGGATTCATTTTGAAATAAGTCAGAGTGCTCTGTTCTTAACAAGGCTTGCCCCCAGGAGAAACTGGTTAACCAGAGCCTAACCTGCTGGAGTGTTATCAGAGTCTACCTGACCTGCGGAAGGGAAATACCCAACTCTAGCCAGCTCTAGCCATCCTGTCCCACCTACGGGGGGAAGAAAACTAAGAAGCAAGTGTGAGGTTCACAGTCCAGAGGCACTAATTCACTAAAGACTGGGACCTGATCATAAATTATGGAACGCTTCCCCTCCCCGCAGCACCTCACCACATGACTAAAGGCCAGTTTGCAGAAGTTCCTTTTACATGGTACATCATGTCCAGCTATCAAGAAAAAGTTACAAGGCACACTGAAAGGCAAAAACACAGTTGGAAAAGACAGAGCAAGCATCAGAACCAGCCATGACAGGGATATTGGAATTACCAGACCAGGAATTTAAAACAACTACGATTCACATGCTAAGTGCTCAAATGGATAAAGCAGACAACAGGCAAGAACAGATGGGCAGTGTAGGCAGAGAGATGGAAATCCTAAGAAAGAACCAAAAAGAAATGCTAGAGGTAAAAAAAAAACTGTAACAGAAATGAAGAAGGCCTTTGATGGGCTTATTAGTAGATTGGACACAGGTGAGGAAAGAAGTTCTGAGCTTGAGGATATAGCAAAGGAAACCTTAACAGAAACTGCCAAAGCTGAAAAGCAAAGAGAACAAAGACTGAAAACGCAGAGCAGAACATGCAAGGACTGTGGGATGACAGACAAAAGGCACAACATACGCGTAATGGGAAAATCAGAAGGAGAAAGAGAGGAGGAACAGAAGAAATATTTGAAACAATAATGACTGAGATTTTCTCCAAATTAACTTCAGATACCAAACCACAGATCCAAGAAGCTCAGAGAACACCAAGCAGGATAAACACCAAAAAAACTACATCTAGGCATGTCATTTTCAAACTACAGAAAATCAAAAATAAAGAAAAAAATCCTGACAGAAGCCAGAGGAGGGGAAGAAAACACCTCACTTACAGAGGAACAAAGAACAGAGAACAGGAACATCAATTTCCCTACATCTTTGCCAGCACTAAAATATTACCATTTTTTCCATCCCTGACGGTCTTACAGGTAGAAAAAAATCTCATTGTAGCTTTAATTTCCCTTTATTTAATCAGGAGTGAGGCTACACATGTTTTCTTATGCTTATAGACCATTTATATTTTTCCATGAATTGCTCATTCATATCCTTTATTAGCTGTCTTTTAAAAAAATTGATTTATAGGGGCTCTCTATAAAAGCATGGATAGAACTTGTCATTTATTAAGTATTTACTTTGGGCACTTTAATCTCATTTAATCTTTGAAATAGCCTTATGAGAGAGATTCTACGTTATGCTTATATTACACTGTCTAGTTTGTTGTCTATTATTTACATTGCAAATACTTTACCCAGTTTATTTTTTAGCTCTCGGCTTTATTTATGGTCTCTTTTCCTGTACAGACATTTAAAATTTTTATGGAGTCTAATATTTAAAATTTTTCCCTTGTGGCTTCTTGGCTTTTAAATCTTGCTTAGAAAGGCCTTCCCTATTCCAAGATTACCTAAACATCTTTCTATACTTTTTTCCCTATTAATTTTATGCCTTTTGGGAATAAAAAATTTAGTCTTCTAATTCATTTACAATAAAATGTGTATATTGTGAAGTACTGTGTCCCTACTTTTCAAAAATATATTATAAATACAAGAAAGCCCTATTAAAACTATTACAGGGGTCACACTGTATTGTCCAAAGACTAATAAGCAGATATAATCAAAGAGGCAGACATGCCTGCTTATTGGATGCAATTACATAGTGAGGTCCTCTTTGTGCCAGACACTGCTCCAAGTGCAAGCAGTTTCAAAACATGTCCAAAAATTCTGATACTTCTCCCATCGAAAAGTGGGATTTCTTCCCCTTCCCTTGAATCTGGGCAGCTTGTCACTTGCTTTTAATGCAGCAGAAGTGACACTATGTGACTTTCGAGTCTGGGTCACAAAAGGCCATGCAGTTTTTACTTGGCTCCCTTGGGATGGTCATGCTGGGGGCAGCCAGGAGCCATGGAGGAGGTCCGACTGCCCTGAGATGACAGCTGGAAGACAGTGAGGTAGACAGTGCAGCTGAGCCCAAGGC